ACCCCCCCCCGCGCCCCCCGCGACTGGGGCGCGCTGTTGCTCCACAAGGCCCAGATCCTGGCGCTGGCAGGTGAGCAAACGGGCTCGGAGGGACGGAGGGACCATGGGACCAGGGCGGGGGCTGGGACCCGGGAAGGGGCCGGGCGCTGGGGCGGAGGGGGCCGGAGAAAGCCACTGCTGGCTCCTGCCTCCACCTCCCGCGCCCTGGCTTTTCTTTTGGGGACGGGTCGTCTCTAAGAGGCCAGACCAGTTAAAAAGACCAAATGGTCCTCCTTTGTCTTCCCTGCTTTCCTTACACTCCAGGGCTGTTAGTCTGTCTTCATCTCCATCTGCGTCTGTCCTCTGATTCTTCGCATTCTCCGTGTTCCTTCACTTTCTCATTCTCTCCTGGTACCGTCATTCCTCACCTCCTTTTTTACCACTGTCCCAATTCCTTTCCTCTCTGCTCCTTTCTGCCCCTTTAAGTTTCTCATGCTATCTTTCTCCCTCCTTTTAAAGCCCTTGGCACCTCCTTGGAGTGAGGAGCAGGGGAATATTGTCAGAGCTTCTGGGTGAGGGTCTTTCCTCAAAGAGGGAAGTTATGGCATCCTTGTCCCATCCGGACCCATCCTTGAACAAGATGAGGAGGCCTTGAACCTCAGTTCACTGGCATCACTCTCTCCTGCCCCACCTGGTCAGGGGGCCAAGAGGCTCTGGGGCATCCTTCAGTCTCCACACACCTTTCTGAATCTCCCAGAAGGCTCTGAGTGAGAAGTGGGGGCCAGGAAAGGGTTTCTAGGTCAAAATAAGAAGGAAAACTGCTGTCCCAGGGTCCTGAGAGAGAGGCAAAGAAGGTGGTCTTATTTGAAAGGGGAGGTTACCAAGGTTCACTTGGTGACAGGACATAAAATCAGCTAGATACCTTCCTATACTCCTCTCTGCCATGCTGAGTTATGTTTTCCTTTGTGAAGAGAAGACAGCTGGTTCTCTTTCCTAGCAAGTTCTAGGAGGCTTGGGTACAGAGTGCTGGGAAGAGGTAGACATCACTTTTGTTTGGGGGATAAGCCTTTGACCTGCAGCTGGTAAATAGAATGTACCTTAGAGTATAGTCAGAGTCATCAGTAACCCTGCCCCCACTTGGAAGAGAAAAGGAGGGTTAGGAACTGAATGAAGACATTGTTAATATTCCGGAGTTAATATTCTGGTCTTACATACTTCCCTATTTTTCCAAGTTCCATGGCTTCCTCACATTTAGCCTAGAAGATGAACCCAGCATGTTATCTTAGTGACTTGCCCAGGGTGCCATGGCGAGATAGCAGTAGATCAGAGCTCAGCTTCGTGACTCTGGTTCCTGTCCACCATCCCATGTTGCCAGTAGAAAGTGGGTTTGGAGGAGTAGAGGAATGAAGAGCTGGAAACTAATCAACTGCACCTGAGTCCTTTTGACAGACTCTATCCTTACCATCCTCTGAAAGTCTTAGGGCCAGCAGCTGTAGACCCACTCAGGGCCAGACAATAGGAGTCAGGGGAACTGAGTGAGAAGTAGGTTTTAGAAAAGCGAACCCTTAGGGCCAGCAGATGGCGTTGTGTTTATAAGCCCTGGACTCCTACGTCATCAATCGCAGTTCAAGTCCCAGACCTGGTGGCTTGTTAAGTCACACCGGGCGCATGTACGTGCATGCCCAAAATCTCAAGAGGAATATGGATGAGAATGGATTGCGACATGGCTATGCCCCTAGGGGGGTAATTTCTCACTTTCCCTCTCTCTGTCTCTCTCCATATAACACATGTGCCCTATGTCAAAAACCTTATATTAAAAAAAAAAAAACGTAAACCCTTTGTGGCTGATTAGGTTTTGGTTTGTTTGCTTTTACTTTTAATTACCCGAGAGAAGGGATTAGGAATTTATTTCCCAAGAGTATAAGTCAGAGGAAGTTATAACTAGGTTGTAACCCTAGCTTCCCTCTTGCTAGAAGACAAAAAAAAAAAAAAATGCTTCTTGCCGATTGTATCATACTCCTAGATTCAGAAAAACCCTAGGAGAGTGGAAGTGATGTCTGTCCGTCAGTGGTAGGTATCTTAGTGTGTAATGGCTACTTCCCTCTTTTAGAGATTGTTCATCCATCCATCCATTCATTCAGCAAACATACACTGTGTTTGACTCTTCAGGCACTGCAGAAAGGTCACCTAGGCAGATGGAAGCTCCCACCAGTTCTGATTTTAAAATCGACACAAGCCCTCACAAGTAAGACACGTGGAGCTTTGGCCTGAGAACCATGAATTTTGAGCCTATGGACTATTCATCTTTCAAGTTGGATTGCTGATAAATTTCTGTATTAAAATACAAAAAACAAAAACAAAAAAACCTAGGCAACATCTGGAAACCGGCAGAGTAGATCCAAGCGTGATGCCAATTTGAGTGAGTTGAAAAGTGCTTACCCCACCTCTCTTCAGTTTTTTTAACAAGAGAAAGGGGGGGGGGTGGATAAAAGAAGAAGCAGCAAAAAAAAATAAAACCACTTGAGGTTGACTAAGCTACATTTTGAATTCTAATCAGCTGGTTAATTTTTAAATTGGATTTGCAGCCCTGGCTATAGACCTGTTTGAAAGGGTCAGGGTGAGTTTAGGAATTCATTTAAACTGGAGGAATTCTCCTGTGTCTTGAAAAACTCCATCTTGACTTGGTTTTGGTGGCTTTGAGAATTGCTTGCAATGACTTTATCCTAAAGAACTCATCTGGCATCTCCGGGTTGTAAATACCACTGTGCTCTGGCACCAAGTGTGAGGAGGTGACCCTTTAAGTGGGAGGCTGAGGTGGCTTTATGCCTATGGATTAGCCATTTTTTGATGAATTAATCCATCTCTGGCACCAATATCATGATTATAGAGAAAGTTTCAGGACCGCTTTATGACTTTGAGCGAGAAGTGTGTTACTTTATAGAGTATTTGCCCAGGCTAACCCACAGCTATTTTGAAGTTATCTCTTCTTATACCCAGAAAATATCAAAGTCAACTGCTGTGGGGCTTTCTATTTTACTCCCGTGGTGGGTTACACCATGTTCCAGTGTGGGTAAGACCCTAGTAGATACCTCTCTCCATACCATTAAATTACAATTTCAGCTTTACTGACGGTCTTGCTGTGTGCCTGTCTGTTATCTCAGTTCGTCCTCCTGTAACTCATTGATAGAGTCTGATAAGGTGATTATTTCCATCTTATAGATGAAGAAACTGAGGCTCAGAGGCTTGCCTACAGCCACATAGCTACTAAGTGGCAAAGGCAGAATCGGAACACAGGTCTTCTAGTGCCAGGTCCCTGCTTGGCAGTCTCCTTTGTAAAATTGCTGATGTTCCCATCAGCCACTCAGCATGACTTGGAAGGAGTGAAAGGAAATGGAAAAACTGTCCATGAAGCTTACAGATCCAATCAAGTTTTGAAACCAGAGGATAGTTCTAACTTCTGAGTTCTCGAACTCATTCTGCTCTTCCATTTGCTCCATTTCCACCCCCTTCCTAGAGAGCACACACACCTCTCCCCTCTGCCTGCCCAGCCCTTCAGTTGTCATTTGCCTGAGGAAATCTCAAAGGAGCTCCCATCCTCAATGAGGACCCATATAACTCAAGACTTGACTCGCCTTTGAGCTGTGGTCTCTTCTTACTCTCATTTATTTACTAATCATGTTGTGAAAGTGAGAATTTCCCATGTGGAGAGCCCATCACTATCTAACTACAGTCCAGCCTGCTATTAGGACCAGTGGTGTTGAATTGTGGGATTTTTTTTTTTTTTTTGGCGAGGTTTTTGCTTTAGGGTATGTGCACTCGCCAGAAAGCGAGAGACAGAGAGACAGAAAGCAAGAAATCACCCCGGGGGGATGGCCACGCTGCAATCCTTTCTCCTCCATTCTCCTCTCAGGATCTTTTGGGCATGCATGCACACACACCCGGTGTGAGTTTAAGCCACCGGGTCTGGGACTCGAACCATGGTCGACTACATGGGAGTCCAGCAACATAGCTATTACGCCAGCCCTTAATTGTGTTTTTTTTAGGGGACGAAAGTTGGTTTTTCTAGGCTAGACTCTTAAAATACTATGTTGTTCTATCCAGGTACCTATGCTGTGTTGGCCAGTAATTGTTTGGGTGGGTTAAAGTCCCTTTGTTATCAAGTGTCCACTTACTACTTCCTATATGTGAGGCCATGGTGTAACAAGTGAATATACCAATGCACCAGCACATCTGAGGGACCATGACTGGGATGACAGCATGACCCAGAGGAGACCAGTTAACTTTTCAGACCCTGCTATGTAGAGTTTTTTGGGGAGGCAGAGTAATGAAGAAGAAATGGGTCCTCTCCCAGGATGTGTGTAGTTTGGGAGACCCCATGAAAGTGCTAGATAGAGCTAGAAGCCAGGCACGAGGGGAGTACAAACAAGGGACCAATTCCAGGTGGGCTTTGCAGTTTATCTAGGATTTTCCTTTCCAGTTCCACTACCAGTGTCTGCATTCAGGCCAGCATTAGCTCTTACTCTTCTAAACCAGCACAGCAGCCTTCTCATTTATCACCCTGTCTCCAATGTATTTTCCAAATCGCTTTCAGACTAAATCTTCTAAAATATAGTCTTAGGCAGTTGACGGCTCTCTTTGGAACCTTCTGTTGCTCCCTATTGCCTACTGAATAAAACTTCAGCTTCTCAGCCTGGCATTCAGCCATTCCTCTGACTCGCCCCAGCCCCACGTTACTTCCCTCGCCTAGCCCTGTGGTTTTTCTTGCTATTCTATGAGCTCGCCCCATCTACTTCTTTGAACCATCCAGGATAGATTAATCATTGTCTGACATGGGGCCTCTACCCACGTGGAGCTCACCTTTGCTGGAAAGGCAGACATGTGACATATCCGTGGTGGGCTGTGATAGAGGAGTGGACAAAGTGCATTGGGAGCTGCCTACCTCAGGCATTCCCTGTTCCCCTACTGCCCGTAAAGGAGACTCACTCCCTCTGCAGAACTCTCTTTTCACCTTGCTTCTTCTTTGATGATGGACCTTAGCATTTCTGTCTTGTTCTGGTTAGTTATGAAACTGCCTCCCTCTGCCAGACAGTGAACTCCTCCGGGACAGAGGCCTGCCTTCCTGGCCTCTGCATTCGTGGTGTCCAGCACATAGTCTACACTGGTCAGCCCATGATGAATTAACTCATGAACTTTGAGGAGACAGGCACATCTTTTATGTTTGGGGAGAGGAAGTAGAGGGGACCAGAACCTCTGTAGCAGCAACTTGTTTTTTAGAACAGAAACCTGCAGGAGGATTTTGAGCTTTCATTCAACTTTGTTCATCTGGAAAAAGTCAACATTCTTTATCACTCCCTTGACGAGAAGAAACCCCACACTTGGGGGAAATAGCTTCCAAAGCCACGTTTTTCTTGCTTTGGTAATTTTAGCTCATTCAGGGCTCAGGTCCCAGCTTGGCATTGTCAGTCCAAATAGATCACTTGCTCCAGAAATGCTTTGGAACTTCTACAAAGTTAGCAGCAAAGCAGGGGACTAGTCGATTTCATATGCAAAGATTGTTGCGTGTCCTCAGTGGGAGACTGCCAACAAAAGGATTTATTTTTTTAAAAAAAGCGAGTGAAAACTTTTAATTTAGGTTTTGACATGTTCTGCTGATATACGTTGGAGCAAAGATTGGAACTTGCCTGCTGTCATCTGTTGCAGATTCTACTGGAATGTTAACCGTTGAAGGATCAGGCTCATGTGATTTCTCAAGAACCGCATATTGGTTACAACTAAACAGTGCTTCAGCAGTTCTGGTTTGCAGGTTGAAAGAAAAAAATTGTCCCAGGCAAGTTGAAGACTTGCTTTTTTTGTGTGGTATTTTGTTATTCAAGAGCACACTAGCTTTTATTCTTAAAAACACACCAGAAAAGTAAAATTCAGATTGAGGTCTTTGACTCTAAGACCAATTATCTTTACAAAGTGTCTAACCACTTTGTCTTATAAGCTCCTTAGAGTCAGAAGATGTGCATATTTTTTCTTACCAGGAAGACATATGTAACCGGAAGAGTTTTCCTTGGCTGATTACATTCTATAGTTATTGAGTTCTGCAAGAGGTCAGCCTTATAATGGAAGGATGTGTTGTTTTTCACCTACCAGATATTTAAAAAATTTATCCACTAGGTTTCAGTTTTAGTGCACATACTCTATCTACATCATTGTTATTCAGGACTTCTTGTTTTGTCCAGGAGAAGAGTGCTGTTTGGGCAACTGCTGAGTGAAAGTTCTAGATGCCAAGCTGTGAGGTAAGCCAGCCCACATGGACTGGGCTTGTGGAGAAATATGAGTCAGTTCAGTCAGAAATTGAGAAACCTAAATGAAGGTGGTGGTGTTCATGAGATGAATTAAGGAGCTAGAATCCATGGGACTTGGTAACTGACTAGCTGTGATGTGATCTGGGCCTCCCTTTTAGGATGAGACTCTAGAAGAGTAGCTGGAAGGGAAGATGAAGAGTTTAGAGACCTGTTGAATCTTAGATGCCCATAGAACATCAGGGTGGACTGGCCTGGAGAGCAGGTGGGCATGTGGTTCTTGGTTCAGAAGAGCTCTCCAGACTGAAGATCACAATATATGGAAGCCATGGGAGGAGTGATGTCACAGTGGGAGAGGACACAGAGTGAGAGAAGCTTTTAAAGGCAATACTTTTCAGAACACCAGCTCTTAAGGGCACCTTTGAGGAAGAAGAACCTTAAAAAAAAAAAAAAAGTGACCAGGAAGGAACAATAAGAGATGGACTGAGAATCAAGGGATAACCAGGTGAGATGAGTGTCCTAGAAACCAAATGAGGAGAGAGGTCTTTGGGACCCAGATTTAGTCTTGTTTTTGTTTCTTTTAACTACACAGCAACTGCCTTTCTTTCTGAACTCATTTGTGAGAAATAGGATAGAATGCTAAATATATAAGCAGGAGAAGAAAAGATTTGCATGCTATGACATTTTGATAGTTTTCAATTTCTGAGTTTTTACAACATGGAAGAAGGATCATACTTGTTCTTTAGGATCCAGAAAGGAAGTTAGAGCAAGAGAGTAGAATTCATAGGGTTGGCGGGAGCCAAGTAATAGAAGCAGAGAGAGCAGGCAAATGAAGGGCTTCCAATATGGCGCTGAGCTTCCCATTCCCTGAGGTCACAAGCAGGTCGGGTATTTTAGAGTGGAATCTGTGGGAGAGTTCAGTTAGGTGACCTCTAGGTCACTTTCTTAAGCATAGAGAAGGAAATGTTAGAGAGCTGAAAGACTGACTTTGAAGTCAGACAGTCTGGGTTCAAATCATAACTCTGCTACTGGTAAGATGTGTGACCTTCAGGAGATTAGATTACTTCTCTGAGTGCCAGGTGCTTCTCTGTAGTGTAGAGACAGTAATCGCCCACCTGCCCACTGTGTT